AGAGGGCGGCGGAGAGGCGCGGCGCGCCGGGCCTGAGGAAGAGCCGGAGTTGCGGCCGGTGCGCGAGCTGCCCCCGCCGCTGTCTTTAGGCCGGTGCGAAGAGACAGAAGAGCGGACACTGCTGCGGTACATGGCTGCAGCAGCGGCCACCACCGCGTTCCGACCCGCCGGCGTCCGAGCGCGCCGCTGCCGCTGCAGCCGCCGCGCACCGCCCCCGCAGCTGGAGCAGCTCCCTCCCCTCAGCCCCGCACCGCCCCTGGGGCCCGGCCGAGCGCGCCCCCAGATGCGGCTGGCGGTTGGAGGGCGCGAGCACGCGCTTGCTACCCCACCCCCGCCGCGCACCCGCGGGGTTCCCGGCTCCTCCACTCACAGGGCCAGGAGAGAGGTGGAGAAGAGCGGAAGGCCGCGCGAGGCTGAGCGAGGGGGCGGGGAAATGAAGCGCGCGACCTGCGCTCTGCACGCTCCGCCCCAGACTGGCAAGATGGCGGCTGCTGAGCCGCCCACCTCCCCTCCCCACATGACCACGTGACCCTGAAGACTTGGCGCTGGGCGACGTGGGGCGGCCTGAGGCGGAAAAGAAAAGATAAGCGAGAGCGGAGAGAGGTCTTCCTAGGCTCACCGGGGCCTCGGGACAGTGGGAACATCTTTTCACTTTCCTTGTTCCCCAGCTCTGGCTTGTGTGGAAGCAGTTAAGTGTCGTTCAGTCTGCTGCGACTCAGCGACCTTATGTGGAAACAATACGAACCAAAACCAAAACCATTGCTGTCAAGTTGATTGCAACTCATAGCGACCTTGTGAAATAGATTAGAGCTACCCCATAGGGTTTCCCTAAATCTTTATGAGGGCGGACTGCCACATATTTCTCCAGGAGCCACTGGGTGAGTTCGGTTTACAGCAGAGCGCTTAACCACTGAGCCAACAGGGCGCCTTGTGTGGCGATGATAAATGGTTATAAAAATAGCTTCCAAAATGTCAGCTATTTTGGAGGTTACCACCTGGGCAATAGCGCCCACCCAAGCCCTGGTTACCATGGAAGTAGCACAACAGCAATGGCCTATTTTCCAGTTCGCTTGATTTCTAGAGGTTAAAATTGAGGATGGGAAAGTGGGAAGGTCGGGCTGACAAACTCCTTCAAGTCAAAACAGACATCAGAGTACCTCTCAACCAGAACACTTGTGACCTAGGTTAAGGTCACTCACCACGAGGGGCCCCACATCGTGATCAATAGACGTGGAGAGAATTTTGTGACCAATATGTGTGATTAGGGCCCTGCATCCTGAGAACAAAAGCCAAGAAACACAACACAAAAAAATACAAATACAATGGTCAAACATTAAAAACAAAACAAAACCTTGACCCTAACCAGTCAAATTCTAAAAAATAATAATAATAATATTTTTCATCTGTCAACCAGAAATACAAAACCTGAAATTGGTAGAAAAATTAGGTTTCTGATTTCAAAGCAAAGGGGAAACAGAAAAGTTCAATTATAAAAGATAACCAATTAAAAAAAAAACTTTCTAATTTATATGATTCTATATGGAATGTCTATAAGGCACTTGACTGCTAACCAGAAGGCTGGCAGTTCAAAGCCACCAGCCACTCCTCAGAAGGAAGGTTGGGCAATCTACTTCTGTAGTGATACTGTGTGGGAAACCCAAAGAGGGGTCGCTATGGGTCGGTCTGACTCGATGGCACATAACAACAACATATGGAATGTAAAATAAAACCATTTTCAAGTTTGTATAATGGCATATGATAACATCATTAAAAAAAAAAAAAAAAATTCACTGCCATCCAGTCAATTCAGACTCATAGCAACCCCCTTTGGGTTTCCAGAGGGGTAAATCTTTACAGAAGTACATTGCCCAATATTCCTTCCACAGAGTGGCTGGTAGGTTTGAACTGCCAACCTTCTGGTTAGTGGTCAAATGCCTTAGGCACTATTCCACCAGAGCTCCTTATGATAAAATCATATCTCAGTAAAAATAAAGTTGAAAATCTTTTAATAGCTGATTTTTCTTACACCAGTTTGTCTTACTCCGTAACAATTCCTTCTTGATCCCTATAGATATTTGAATTTATTTTATTTTATTGTGCTTTAGGTGAAAGTTTACAGAGCAAATTAGTTTCCAGTTCAATAGTGTTCCATGACTTTAGTTGCATTCCCCACAATATGTCAGCACTGTCCTCATATCAGCCTTGGTTCTCTATTTTCTTTTGTTCAATTTGTCTACCCCTTCCCCACTTCTCATCTTTGCCTCCAGGCAAATGCTATCCTTTTGATCTCATATGATTGATTGTTCTAAGGAACAGATCAGGTTCCTCTTGGGTGTTGTTTATTCTATGGACCTATCATTTGGCTAAAAGGAATGACCAGTTCCAGGTCAGTTGGGCTGTAGATTCTGGGGTTCCTCCAGTCTCTGTCAGACAAAACAGTCTGGTCTTTTTTTGTGAATTTGATTTTTTGTTCTACATGTTTCTCCTGTTCTGTTGTGATCCCAGGCAGAACAGTAGGTAGTGGTAACGAGTGCCATACAGTTCATCTGGTCTTTGGGTCGTGTAGGCTGTTGTTCATGTGGTCCATTCATTGGCCCTTTGGACAAATTGCTCCTTTGAATCTTTGATTTTCTTCAGTTTCCTTTGCTCTAGACAGAAAGAGAACATATCTTTAATGGCTGCTCACAGGCTTTTAAGACCTCAGACACTATTCACCAAAGTAGGATGTATAACATTATTAACACGTGCTTTCTATCTACTTAGTAATTTCCCTCCCTCCCTCTTCCATCCCTGGTAACCATCAAAGAATTTATTTTCCATGTGTAAGCATTTTCTTGTTTTTTAAAACAATAGCAGTCTCATACAGTATTTGTCATTCAGTGACTGACTTAATTCATTCAGCATAATGTCTTCCAAATTCATCCATGTGGTGAAATGTTTCATGGATTGTTATTCCTTATTGGGCAGTATTCCATCGTGTGTATGTACCACAGTGTATTTCTCTTTTCCTCTGTTGATGGTCACTTAGGTTGTTTCCATCTTTTTGCTATTGCGAATAATGCTGCAATGAATATGAGTGTGCGTGTCTATTCACGTAATTGCTCTTATTCCTCTATGGTATTTAGCTAGGAGTGAGACTGCTGTATCATATGGTATTTCTATTTCTAGCTTTTTAAGAAAGCACCAGACAGTTTTCCATAGTGATTGTACCATTTTACACAGCCACAAGCAGTGTGTAAGAATTCCAATCTCCCTACAACCTTGCCAACATTTATTGTTTTCTGTTTTTTTTCTCTTAAATTAGTGACATTATTGTTGGGGTGATAAGGTATCTTATTGCAGTTTTGACTCACATCTCTCTAATGGCTAGTGATCTCAAGCATTTCTTCATGTGTTTGTTAGCCACCTGAATGTTTTCTTTGGTGAATTGTCTGTTCATAGCCTTTGCCCATTTTTTTTTTTTTTTAAACAAACCAATTTATTCTT